CACTCTTCGCTGTATAATATGGGCTATTGAAAGCGCCCGTAAATAAATGAGGAGAAATTGTATATCATTTGCATTTGTGAAATATATTACATGTATGTTTGACCGAAGGAACCACCGTGTTCGCACACATGTCTTGGTTATAGTTGGACTTTCGCTACATAGATGACGCATAAGCAGTTCCATCGTTGTGAGTCTCGCTTAAGAAGACTGTTTTTCAGTCAGTCTACAGGGATCATCGACCATGAGATACGACATTTTAAATCGGAAGGAATAATAATTCATTTGTTTAAATCCAAAAATTTGTGTCATTGATTCAGATACCCCAGTTCAAACGTGAAAATGATTCAAACGTCGTTGATTTATGATTGAATCGAGCGAAACAGCTTAGTGGGAAACATAAACCTTAGGTAAAATGTAGGGTAAAGATAAAGCTAGCCATGTAACAGGCCGTGGAGGCCCGTAGGGTTGTAAGACGTCGAGGCTTCTACATTTTCTAGACAGTCCAGGTACATGGCCGGCCGCCCTTTACCCCTAAGAAAATTCTTGGTACTCACATTGTTAAAAGCTGAGTCGACCCCAGGCTCATAGTGCAGCTGGAAGGATTAGTTCAATTGAAAAATCCAATGACCCTATCGGGAATCAAGCCCGCGACCTTTCTGCTTGTAGCATAGTGCCTGAACCAGCTGCACTACCGCGTGCCCATTAGGTGTAATGTCCCAGAAACTCAATCTCTAAGCCGAATTTTCGTTCGCAACCCACGTGATTGACAAGGTATGTAAAGTGAAATATACGTACCACAGCTTTTGCTAAGACCCTCTTGTTTCGTCTGTGTGGCATGTCCCATCGTCTATAATAGATGTATTCGGGAGCGGAAAGGTTCATAGATGTCAGATTATGGTGTGTTGATATAAAACATCTGTCCCTCTGTCGATCCTGAGTTTCCATGTGTGCCCCCCCCCCCTTGTGACTAGCAACTGTAACTCGCTTCTTCACTCGCTGGTGTCTCACGGGTTCTACTTGGAATCAGATAATTTGCAGCATCTGCTTTGGCCTCTTGTATAAATGACTTGCTTGTTAATGTTTAAGTATTCTTTTGTCCTTTGTTTTTGGATTTTTTCAATTCACCTAATCCTTCCAGCCGCACTATGGCCCTGGGGTCGACTCAGCATTTAACAGAAATGAGTACCAGGAATCTTCATGGGGGGTAAAGGGCAGTCGGCTCGTAAGGGTGACAACCTCACCGCCATCTGTGAGCCTATTATTTAGAGAAAATGTGGGAGCCTCGACGTCTCACAGCCCTGTTGGCCTTCACGGCCTGTTACAGGAAGAGCTTTACCTTTACCGGTAAATGATATCAACATGGCGGTCATACAAGTGACACAGCTTCACGATCAACATTTTATCAGGATATTTGCTGTTGTACTTCTGATGATTATTGTCTTCGCTTGGATACTTCGCTATATTTGGTAGGTCCAGAGTTCGATTCTCACCCGGAGACTCTATACCACCATTATGATCTGTCGTTTAGTGTTCCCATTCGTTTTCAGGGAAATGATAGATTTTCGAATTCTCTCTCTCTCTCTCTCTCTCTCTCTATGGCTCTGCAGCCCTTGTGGACCTCGGCCACTTTTTCCGTGTGTTAATCCTGTACAGAGTCAGTAGGGCTCCTTGTACGAGGGATCAGCCCGTCTCAAAGCCCCTACCAACACACAGAATAATATAAAAACAGAATGAATGCAGACAGACATCCATGACTTGAGTGGGATTCGAATTCACGATCCCAGCTTTCGAACGGGCGAAGACGGTTCATACCTTAGACCGCGCGGCCACCGTGATCGGCGCCTTTCGACTCTGTAATGATTCTAGTCAGCTTGATGAAGAATATAGATCATGATGTCCCCCATTACGCAATTTTCTTCGGTCTGACAGCATTGGCCGTCAGTGACGTCAGGGGTGCCTACTTCGAAACAGCATTCGCTAGACATGTTGGCAGTTGCACGTGCTATTTGGAATACTGTCCGCTGGACAAACTGGCATGTTTTCGAGTATGGTCTTCGATTTCTGGAGTTGTAGTGATCCGACAAGAGAGATATATTTTTCTCTCCAAGGCGAAACTTTCAACCTCACATGGAGGTGAGGCCAGGTTTCATTAAATTGCCGGTGAATTTTAGTACTCTTATTCCGTATTCATTTCTGACCCTGAACTTGGCTATATTCACAGTAAGATGCTAACTTACTTATTCATGGAGCTGAGCCCTTCTTGAGGAGCCGCCAATTCTGCAGCTACTCAAGAATTTAGCAGCATTTTACGGAACCCAAATGTTCATTATTGTGTTCACAATAGCCCTCCATTGGTCCCTATCCTGAGCCAGATCAATCCAATCCATACCATCCCATCCTATCTCTCTAAGATCCATTTTAATATTACACACCACCTACGTTTTGGTCTTCCCAGTGATCTCTTTCATTCTGACTTTCCCACCAATATCCTATGTGCATTCCTCCTCTCCCCCATTCGTGCTACATGCCCTGCCCTCATCATCCACCACAGTAAGGTGCTACTAAATTAATTGGGCCTGTAAGAAAGACGCATGCATAATCAATCTTCCAGTTGTAGTAAGTAGCCACCAAGCAAGGCTGTCACAAAATCTATCGCTTCTGACTTGTACTTTGGAGATGTCGGTTTCGAATCCCAGGAGGGAAACAGGATTGTTCTTACTATTTTTTTTTTCGTACGTTCCTCCAGTCCCGCCACGCAAAGTTCCCGGGTAGAATACAATAAACCCTCGTCGAAACAAACAAATAGGAGGGACAGGCTGTCCGTTATAACAGATATCCACTATAACCGAGTGAAGGTGTATTCACGGAAGTACACCACAGGATACATAGCCAATACACGCAGTAAACATAGAAACATAAAATGTTATTACATAGAGGATTTTATATTGGGGTTACAGGTATTTCTATTTTAAATAGTTTTCTATGTACAAAATTTCAGTGCCTCAATGTCTCTAAAAATTCACAGTTGTACACACCCAGATTTTGTCCGATATATCCAAAATCCTTTTATGTCTGGATCTGTTATAATGAGGGTTTACTGTGTTTACGACCGTTTCCTTTCGCATTCCTTCTGAATAATTGTTCACCATGGTCCGAATATTGGACACTGCAAATACATAAAGTGAGTTACTGGCGGTATCGCTAAATAAAATTCAAGTAAACAAATGAAGTAATAAAATGGTGCACAAATTTAAGAAGCTTAGGCTGAGTTTTCAGTGACGTAGGTCCGTGAGCAGATACATTTTACAGGAGTTAATAGTCAGGAAATTCCTCAAATTTTAGGAAACTTGAGACCGCCTCTGTGGTCTTGTGGTCGGAGTTCCTGGCTACAGATCCAGAGGTCCCGGGTTCCATTCCGGGCTATACCATATTTTCTGAGAAGTTGTGGGTCTGGAACGGGTTCCACTCAGCCTCGAGAGGATAATTGAGGAGCTGTTTCAAGGAAATAGCTGCTCCGGTCTAGAAAACCGAAATTAACGGCCGTGGGGATCCGTTGCGCTGACCACGCGAAACCCTCTATCTGCTAAATTTGACACTATCTTCGCCGACAAACGGCGGTCGCTCGGTCGGTATCGTTCGCTTGCTGACTAAAACTACGGAGTTTTTTTTTTGTTTGTTTTAGGGAGGAAATGGTATTCAGTATCAAAGAGTGTGTAACGTAAAGTAAATTTGAAACTGTTCACTTTCAGCCGAGCTCACACGCACTGCCCTAACCTTACGTACTGCCGGCTATCCCACATCCTCCTGCCGTTTCTTTACTTCCACTCGGGCCCGAGGTTGACCGACGCCCTGTTCGGCTGAGGTCGGACGTCGGAACTGTGCGTACCTCACCCCGGCTGGCTCATTCTGCTTACGTGTGTCGATCCGAAAGGAGGTGTTGCTCCCTTGTCGTCGGTTTCTTACTTCGTACGGCCGTCCAAGTTCGTAAATATTTGAGCGTCCACTAGTTAGTGCTTGTTTTAATTTCGTAACAAGAGACACAGGTGTTCTGGTGAAAGCATGCTTTTCTTTTCACGCTTTTGGTTTAAATATTGTGCGTGGCACGAACCCAGTATTGCTTTTGGAATAGCATAATATGCTCTTGGTGTTCAGGGGTATTTCCTTACTTTCTTTTTCATATTTCAGAGGAAAAGTCGTAATGTTTACGTTTAACAATTCAGGTTGTGTTGGCGGTTAAAAGCAAGTTAAAATAATTTCTTAATCAAGGTTAAAGTACACAACTAATTCGCTGTAACAGATATGTATAATACTTTGTTCAGTTTTATTTGCATGAGTCATTAAAATATTGTTATTTACCTTTATACTTAATTTATAAATATTTGCTATTCTTATAGAAATTTATATCATTCATAAGGGATTGACTATGGGGACAGACTGGTTTCTCTGCTCGAAGGATCAGATCATAATAATCAGGGCCCGAATTTTGATGACGTCATTTTTTTTCATTGTATCCTCTGCGATGCTCTTAAATATATATAAATTTCGGATATGAGCTGCTGGTTACAGAAGTGTAAATTTTATAGTTAATTTTTTGACATTTTTAGGCCATTTTTTTAATTTGAGGGGTAATTTGTTTGGTAAATTTTTGGACTTTTAAGGCTTTTTCTTGTCATTTTTGGCCATTTTAGGGAATTTTTCTTCATATGTTTTCTGAAATGTGAATAACATGGGAGCGAAATGTTCTTTCTTTTCTCCTTTAGGTCATTTTTCTGGATTATTTCGGTCATACTATAGGTCTTTTTTTTAATATTTTCAGGTCATCAAAATCCGGGCTCTGCATATTACATTTTTGGGTCATATTTTAGGTCATTTTCTGGATTTTTTCGGTCATTTTGTAGGTCATTTTTTGAATATTTTCAGGTCATCAAAATCCGGGCCCTGATAATAACCTTATTAATCTGCTCAGTACGCTGAAAATTCTCTTTCTCTCTTTACTACAGGACGAAGCCTCAAGGGAACATTAGTTTCTGCAACATAGGAAAATGATTACTGAACTTAATATTCACTACATCCTGAGAGACGAATAAATTTAATTCACGTTTTGTCACAAAAGCAGAGATAATGTTGCCCGCTGATGATTTAGATGCGAGAGTCATCTGGGGAAAACATTTTTAGATTTAGAATCGAATTATTTAACGATTTTAGATATAAACTTTGTTGAAATGACATTATAGTATACTTTGATATATATTCAGATGTCCCTGTGGAATTCTATAAGAAAAAGTACACCATAAATATGTATGTAACATAAAAAAATTCTTATGCTAATGTCACAAAGCCAGTTTTCTTTGTTCAGAATGAAATTTCGCAATAACAGGAGACAATGAATTGTTGGACTTACTCATGAATCGTGACTTTCTGAGCTGAGAAGAGACTGGACTAGGCAACGGAGGTTTGGAATTCGAAAAAAGAATGTAAATGTACATGTGCAAGAATTTTTCTACCTGTTGCCGACGGATTATTTGCATTCAGTCCAAGTTAAGACATTGATTGTGCGTTATAATCAGGGGAAAATGCTCCTTAAATTATCATTCTAACATGTTCCTTCGGAATGAGCCACAAAGAAAGAAAGGAAATGAGATGAACATTCTTCAGGCATGTTAACGTCGAATGAAGTATGTATATTTAAAATTTACATGAAAAGTATTAAATGTGAGGAGGTGTATTTTAATTTGAACATATATTCTATTCTCTTTACCCTAATGTGACCTATTTGTATAAACATTTTGGTACCATGCGTCATAAAAAGAAGGAATACTTTTATGAATTGATATTATTTGAGTAGGTCTGCTTAAATTAATGTATGTTATATTATTTAATTAACCGTAATTATCAGTTATTAGTTCGGAGAAAAATAAAACGATGAATATGAAGTAAGACAAAGGAAATTAAGATGTTAACTTTCACAAGAATAAATTCCTATCACTTGTGATATTACAAGTCTAACTGACTATTTTAAATCATTTTCGGAACAAGTGTATCTGTTGCCACTTGGAGACAGATGAACAGACATACAAGTTTCTCAGTGAATAACCGCTCGAGCATGTGAAACACCAGCTAAAGCCCGCTCATAAAACTTCGAGTTTTTTCCGCGCGTGTGTGTGTTCTTTTGACATTCGTGGATAATCACTGGTTCGTGACCCTGCACCTGTCGCAAGAAACCCTCCCCGATTGAGAGAAGTAACTCCCCCTTTTGGAAGAGCACCATGAGGGGGTGTAAGGAGGATGTACGTCATCTTCCCCGCTGAAGAGGTCGTAGAATTAACGCTTAGAGGAATAGTGTCCCATCAGCGCCTACAGCACCATCTGCTGCGGCAGCGCTACCAGCAACAAATTCAGGAAGGCTCCAACAATTTCGCCCTACACCGTCGGGAACTTGGAGAATCACAGGACCTCCAGCACGTCCATCCTTCAAGACAAGGTGAGATTTCTTCAGCTCAGTCACTTTTGGTACGAATATATTCAATCATTCATTCATAGACCTGAGCCCTTGTGCAGTTACTCAAGAACTTCCCAGGATCTTATAGAACCCAAAGGTTCATTACCGTGTTCACAGGAACCCTCCACTGGTCCTTATCCTGATCCAGATCAATCCAATTCATCCCGTCTCATCTTATACCTCTAAGATCCATTTTAATACTGTACACCCACCTAGGTTTTGGTCTTCCTAGTGGTCTCTTTCCTTCTGGATTTCCCACCAATTTCATACATGCATTCCTCCTCTCCTTCATTCATGCTACATGCCCTGCCAATCTCATCCTCATTGACTTGATCATTTTAATTATACTCGGAGAAGGGTACAAGTTATGAAGCTCCTCACTGTGCAGTTTTCTCCAACCTCCTGTCACTTCATCTCTCTTCTGTCCAAATGTTCTCCTCAGCACTCTGTTCTCAAACACCCTCAGTCTATGTTCCTCCCTTAATGTCAGAGACCAAATTTCACACCCTTACAGAGCCACAGGAAAAATTATAATTTTGTAACTTCTAATTGTTATGTTTCTGGACAGCAGACGAAAAGACAAAAGGTTCTGGACTGAATGGTAGCAAACATTGCCCGAGTTAAATCTGCTTTTAATTTCCTCCTGAATCAGGTTTTGATTTGTTATCGTCGTTCCCAAATATCTGAACTGTGCCACATTTTCAAAACATCTGTTTCCTATCTCTATATCATGATATTCCCCTGCATTTTTGTGACGAGACAGCAACATATACTTAGTTTTCTCTGTGTTTACTTCTATACCAACTTCTTTACTTGCGTCAATTAAAGTTCGTGTGTTTCTGTTTATGGTTTCTATATTATCAGGCAGTAGATTCACATCTTCAGCATAGACCAGCAGCTGACGTGTCTCATTTAATTTCAGTTCCACCTGGTTTTCTTGGACCTTCCTAATGGCATATTCTAAAGCAAAGTTGAAAAGGAGTGGCGATAAAGCATCTCCTTGTTTCAGACCATTTTTGGATAAGGAATTTATCAGACAACTGTTTACCTACACGGACAATACTATATGTTTCGTTTAAACACATTTTAATAAGCCTAACTAGTTTCATATTAACCCCAAACTCTATCAGAATATTGTACAATACTTCACTCCTAACTGAATCATATTCTTTCTTGAAGTCTACAAATAGCTGATGTATTCACATTTTTCTCCAATATGTGACAGATGCAAAAGATCTGATCTGTAGTTGATCTGTTGCGTCGAAACCCAATAATTTCATCTGTGTATGGACTTAACATTGAGAGAAAAATATTGGATACAATTTTGTATGAAGTTGATAGCAGTGATATCCCACGATAATTACTGCAGTCAGCTTTATCATCCGTAAGTTATTACAGTATAGCCAAATTCATTTTTTCTGTCAAGGCTATGTGCTTCGCTTCCCCTCTCTCCAGTCCTTTAGGGGGTTTCCCTTCTTCTGTCTACAGAACATTGAGAGCTGTGAAACATCGTAGATCTTATGAGCTGTTCCTTCCAGTGGAGTGACCCACATGAAATCATACTTACTGGTGGGGGAGAAGGAAAGCTGCCAGAATAGTGGAGTTGCCAAAACCTAACCAATGACGTGGGAATCGTGATTTTAGCTTATTTTTGCCTGTTCGGAATTAGTTACTCAAATATTCCCTGATATTTACAGCAAAATTCGGGCAACAGAGCATTCCGCAGTTATGTCCTGCGCCGATGACTTCACTCGAATGACGTAGAATGAACTAATTTCATTCTCTGTGAGTGGTTACTGGACTGCGCCAATCTTGCACCGGGTAGGAACCAGCGGCGGTGTCTTATCAACATGTAGTGAACCTTCGGTTTCAATAAAATGCGACACATTACTTTACTAGCTAAACAACTATTAGAGTTTAAGGAGAACTCTTCTCTATTGTGTTAACTAAACGGATTGTTATGAAATACAGTGCCACGTGCAGTTTACTTTACGAGGCGCTTAGAACATCGGGACAATCGCAGTGGCGGCGAGGTGTGAGGTAGTAACTGTCTTCGTTCGCTCAAACACTACGATCGTGGGTTCTTATCCTACTTGAAGCATGGATGTCTGTGTACGTTTATTCTGTGTCTGTGCTCTTCTGTGTGCAGGTAGCGGCCTTGCGACGGGCTGATCCCCCGTCTATGGAGTCCAACCGACAGTGTAAACTATAAAGAAACTGAAAAATGGGCCAAGGTCCAACAGAGGACTGTAGAGCCATAGATAGTCAGTAAAGTGGATTAACGTAGAATTGTATGGTGATTAGTGAGGAATGAATTTTAAAGAATTTGGAAGGAAGTGGTCATGGGTAGTCGGGGCATGTTCTGTCATTTGCCTGGAGAGGCTGAGGGAAGTTTCGAGAAAAATTCCTAGTGAGTACATCTAGTTTTCTGCCTGAGAATCGAACCGGGCACCACTCGATTACAAATCTACAGCATTAAAGAAAACACCTAACCATTCTGTAAGGGCCTCGCCATAGCTCAAGCGGTTAGTCGCTGACTTCCCACAGCGGCATCCCGGGTTCGATCCCGGGTCTGGTCAAGTGGGATTTGTGGTGGACAAAGTGGCGCTGGGGCAGGTTTCCTCCGAGTTCTCCGGCTTCCCCTGCCAATCTTCATTCCACCAATTGCTCCACAATCACCCTCACCTATCATCTGGGGCTGGTACAATAGACCAGTAGTGGCCGCAGTGCAAGGGACTTAGTCCCACCCCACTAGCAATAAAAGAAAAAACATTCTATATAAAATCTGACATCGTGGCTACTAACTCAAGCATTAGACGGCCAAATGGAAACTAGACGGAGTTAGACGGCGTGCGTGAACCGTAGGTGTTACGCGAGGTGCTTTTTGGTGTAGCGAGTTCCGCCTGGGAAGTGAAGAATATTCAAGAGAGTCATCTTGAATTGCGATTTAAGGTGTCTTACGGCCGTTGTCACTTGCTGCGGGGTTCGCGGACCTGCTCGTGAACTTCCAGACTAAAATGGATGAAGCTGTCATGGCTAATTTACAGTTACTTGTTCTGCTGTTCTACAGGATCTCAGTATTCCAGAAATGTCTGACGGTTCTTGAGTGACGGAGTCTCGTAAGACAAGAGGCGTTACTGCACGTAGAAAGACTCATTTAGTAATTTGACGAAAGTAATATAAATAATAAAAATCATTTTGAGAGCGTGGACTCAGGAGTTGGACGCTGCTACCGACAGTGCCCATAACAATGGAGTTCTTTTCACGGTTGCGCTTTCTAGAAATCTCATTAAAGCAGCATCGGCTGAGAGGAATTATACTTTCAATGAAATAAAAATCGGTATAAATTGGATATGTATATTTCGACAATTTCTCTAGTGCCAGTTGTAAACTGCCAATTAGTGTCATGTTACTGAGAAGCAGAAGGTATGCAGCACAGTATATTGTACCAGAAACCATCAGTAGCAATGAGGGTCACATGATACACTACAGTCAGGTAACAAGAGTTTCAGAGGGCTCAGTCTAAAGCAATGTGGGACATGCTTATAGATGTTAGATGTGTGTCACTTTGTTTGATATCATATGCTCTTTGTTTCCACTCAGCCCAGAATTCTATATTTTCTCGTCTGTTATTTAGAAACATCACTCACTCATGGAGCTGAGCCTTTCTTGAGAAGCCGCCAATTCTGCAGCTACTGAAGAAGTTCCCAAAATTTTATGGAACCCGAAGGTTCATTACCGTGCTCACAAGAGCCCTACACTGGTAGTTATCCTGAGCCAGATGAATCCAGTCCACACCATCCCAACCTATCTCTCTAAGATCCATTTTAATATCGTCCACACACTTACGTCTTGGTCTTCCTAGTAGTCTCTTTCCTTCTGACTTACCCACCAATATGTATTTCTGTTCTCTCCACTCGTGCTACACGCCCTGCCCCTCTCATCCTCCTTGACTTGATCATTGAAGAAAAACATAGACATAAAAATATGCAAAACTGTGACTTTAACTTTAGTTTTGTATGGGTGTGAAACTTGATTCTTAATATTAAGGGAGGAACAGACTGAAGGTGTGTGAGAACAGGGTGCTGAACAGAATATTTGGATGTATGAGGAATGAAATATTATGAGCAGGAGAAAGCTGTGTAATGAGATGTTTCATAACTTGCTGGGAAGTTACTGAGTACCTACACGATTGGCGGCTTCTCAAGAAGGGCTCAGCTCCATGAGTGAGTGAGGTGTTTTAGATAAAAACAGGACGACGGGTAATGTCCAGAAACATTATTTGTATTAATTTGCCATCGCCACAAACTTCGAGTTCTTGGCGAGCTTAAAGGAATACGACGAGAAGTTGTACACAGGATTCATCTGGCTCAGGTTATGGAGCAGTGACCGGCTGTTATGAACACGGTAATGAATCTTCAGGTTCACTAAAGCACTTGGAATTTCTTGACTCTGTTGACAATTAACAGCTTCTCAAGAAGGATTCTTTGTAATTGACGACGTCTCTGAACATTGCCAATGAGTTCATGCAATTGCAGTCGGGGGCGAGTGCAACAAACCTTCGGGTTTTTACCACAAAACGTAAAATGAACGCGGTTTAAACGCGTTACACAAAATCTTATGTACATGCATTAACTTCTGCATTTTTCATAGTAAGCTCTTGGCTGCTATCAAACTCTTCGGGCTTGGGAATCCATAACTTTCTATTTTGCCTCATTTCCACGAAACTGAATCGACAGATAAATAAAACAACCAAAACTACACACTGCTGTCCCTTTACTCTATGTTTTATTTATTTGTGTTCATACGTTTCTAGTCAGTGACGTCTAAAAGAAACCCCAAAACACTTGATCGCCTTTTGTCTGTATGTTCCTTCCTCAGGCTAGGCTGTAAACTCTTCTAGGATCCCATCAGCCACTGATTCCTAACAGTTTCCCAAATTGTGTTCCATCTATCGTTTCGCCAAGAAACCGAATTCCAACAGTAACAAAAAGAAGTATTCTTTTTTCCCTCCCGAGGCATGTATGTGTCAATGCTACAATCCGGAAGGTCGTGGTTTCTATTCCCTATATCATCGGAATTTTCAATTGACCTAATCCTTCCAGCAGCACTATGACCCTGGGGTCGACTCAGCCTCTATCAGAAATGAGTACCAGAAATTTTCCTGGGGGGTAAAGGGCGACCGGCGCGTAAGGTAAACCATACACTGACATGCGTCAAGACATGTATCAGTCAAGACACGATGTCTGCTACATGACGCAAAGAAAAGAACACAGTTGAAAGGAATGAGATTATGAACAACGCTCTGAGTCATGATGCTTACGAATCACGAATGAACCATGACTGCGTCTTTTGTCTCATGTCTTGATGCATGTTTGACGCAGTTGGTGTGCGGCCGCCCTAAGGCTGACATTCTTACCGTCTACTGTGAGCCGATTTTCTAGAGAAAATGCTGGAGCCTCAAGGTGTCACAACTCTATGGGCCTTCACGGCGTGATACAGGGATAGCTTTAGCTTTTTTAATATGACATACAAATTATGTAATTAAAATGTCACGATTGTATAGATTGTGACTATTGGCGTGGTTTTGATTGGTATTCGGAATTATTGACCCTTTGATACTACACTTTACATTTCACTGTTACACACACACACACACACACACAATATTGTCCACAGTAACGACTTCACTGCCGTTACTTTACAGCGGCTTCCAACGGCTAACGTTCCTCTTCCTCTGAGTTCTCCAACTGTCCCCGTCCTCAGCCACCAACTCATAACAGTAAAAACTCACAATGGCTGAGCCCAGCTCACTCACCAATCATAGCTCACTGACTCAGATGCTACCAAACCAACTCAACCAACCAACTTACTCCAAATTCACTAAGTAACTCCTCAATAACTATGCTGCTTGTAACATTTCCACACGGACCTCACAGAAAACACCATTCCTTTGTTGGGGTTTGCGGGTATTTGCTTAGTAACGGCTATTGTGCAGTTTCTTGTTTCACGGTCGTTGTCTAGACATATGTGCCACAACAATAATCCAACCATCCATTTAAGTTATCGTCATGAGGTATGAGGAAAGTTATAATTGTTGTTACGAAAATTATGAGATAATTTGCTCTCTGTGTGTCTGTCTATGTTTTGCCCCTAATTCTTCCGTTTCTTCTACGGTCCGTGTCAGCTCGGAAGAAAATAGGCGAGTAGTTCTTCCCGAAACTTCTTGTAAGTAAATAGGTCATTCACAACTTCTTCTGCCGACCACCAGTTTCAGATAACTTATTGGAGATCAGCTCTCTATAAGTGCAGGAATAGCTAGCAGGCCGAATGATAGCGTAACTTTTGTCATGCAACAGAATTTTCAGGTCTGTTACACACAGCACAGGCCTGTGTGTTAAGTGACATTTGTTAGTCCATTACAATATGTGCACACAGTTGGCAGTACGTAGTAGCTCCAGGATTAAAATAACTTTGTTTGCGTTGTACAGAGTGATTCTATGTGTGAAGTAATATTCCCAGTTTGATATCACTGAAACGCAAAATATCATCTGTTACTTCTTTATTAACCAGCGTGACAGACCTGCTGTTTATCTCGAATATTAATAACAGAAAATCAATAGCCTTTGTACGATATCATCTTATTATCGAAACTACAGATTTTTTCAACACATTTCACGGTCACCTTCGCAAAGGCATGCTAATATGTAAAAGGTAGGTTTTGAAAGTGTTTTCTTGAAGCTGTGAATGCCCCATTTGATTTGCAGTGAGACCTTCGTGGTTTGTGTACTGGCTGTATTCTACTTATTCTTGAGATCTGTACTAAAATTTCTTGGCCGGTTTTTATTTTGTCTATTTTGGTCCGCAATTAATTTTATATTTTTATTTGTTGTTTATTTAACGGCGTTATCACAAACTCGGTGTCTATACTGTTTGGTGATGAGGTTATCAGTGAGTTGGAAATTTCGTGCTAGAAAACGGTAATGGTGTAAATGTAGGTAGACCTACTGTCCTGGTATTTGCCTGGAGGGACNGAGCAATCATGACTCATAATGAAATACGAGTAAAGAAGAGATGTGGAATATCTACATTTGCTGTATTTGGGCTGGATTCAGCTGGCTCAGAATAGTAAAAACAACTTATGTTTTTGAACATGGTGACACACCAAGTTCCAAAAAAGTGAGAAATGTCTTGACCCGTTAAGGGTCTATCAGCTTCTCAAGCATTTGGCTTCATAAATTTGATTATGGAGGAAACGCTGTATATAAATTCTTGGCTGAACAATCCCAGGGGAAGTATGAACCTTTTTTTAAACAGAGGCATATATGGGCTTATGAGGGTCACAGTACAGCGAAGATGTGAACTGGAATTAACAGACCAACAGTAAGGCCCAACGGCAGGCTTTACTGAACAAGGACATATATATATATATATATATAGAGAGAGAGAGAGAGAAATGAAGAATTCTGTCTTTTGGGATATAGTGCCATGTAGTATGGTGAAAGTTAAATGACGTTTCTGGGGAACATGTTGCCTCCATCTTCAGGACTGAAGAGTAAGCAAAGTAAGAAACTATCGTTAAGCTAACAGCAACTCCTACAACAAAATATTACTGTAGGTCGGGGTGCTGTAGTGTGTAGGAGGGTCTCCAGTCCGTTGAAGTCCTAGCGAGTAACAAATTACAAGAAACGTAAGTCTCTGTGCAGTCAACTAAGACAATAACACAGCAGAGGAGACTGCAAGGGGCGAGAGTGAACACGGTGGTGTAACTGCTGCTGGTTGTTTGTTGAAATATCCGCGATTTTGTCTCCGCGAGTGAAGCTACTGATCAATGAATTGCCTCATCTGCATTCGGTTCGTGTTTGTCATCCCCCTACGCCACAGCTCGACGTTAAACTACAGGGTGTCTCGCAGTTAAAGCAACTTACTCATTCCCTTTATAAGCAACATGAAATGTCGACTCCCAGTCCTGATGTATTCATTACGCAGAGAGCTCGTGATACCAACACACGAGTATATTCAATTTGGTGTTACGAATCATTTTCAGTTGCAAATAAAACAACCAATGCAAGAGTTCTCTCTTGTGGGATATAACACTGCGTAGTCCTTACATCACAGGAGACAAGTTCTTCATAAATATCCCGCAAATCATACAATCATAAAGTAGTTTTGTTAACTTTTTAAATTAAACCCAGAATGTTTTATCACAGCGTCTCGACATCACAAGGAACATTTTGCTGTATTATTTACTGAAACCTCTGAAAATTTCAGAGAATTGTCACTAAACGTGCCGGATTAAATACGGTAAAATATTTTTCTGACAGCTCTATTTGACTTCTGTTATTTATTAAGATGTAAACTATATTGAAGGTCGCGCCATAGCTCAAACGGTTAGTCGCTGGCTTCCCATCGCGACGGCCCGGGTTCGATTCCGGGTCTGGACAAGTGGGATTTGTGATGGACAAGGTGGCGCTGGAACAGGTTTTCTCCGAGTACTTCGGTTTCCCCTGTCAGTCTTGCTTCCACCAATTGCTCCACAATCACCCTCACCTATCATGTGGGGCTGGTACAATAGGCCAGAAGTGGCCGCAGTACAAGGGACTTAGTCCCACCCCACTAGCAATAAAGAAACTATATTGAAACATATACACAAGTACAAAAATATAATTAAAGACGAATCCATGTAGACGCATTCCTTACACCGAAACTGGATGGTGAATGGTGAGCTTCACACCCTGGTTGCTTCCTTTGTGGTGGGGGGGGCGCTACAGCCCCATTTTGGGCCTTGGCTTATTTCCATGAAACTCTCCGTTTCACTTCGGTTTACTAGATCTTACACATTCGGTAGGACTCCTTGGGCAGGTGATCAGCTCGTCGCAAGCCTTCTACCTGTACACAAACACAGAAACATCCATGTCCTGAGTTGGATTCGAACCCAATATCCCGGCTTCCGAGCGAGAGAAGACAGTGCATCCCTTTGACCGCTAAGCTACCGTGATCGGCCCTGGTTGTTTTACCCCCATGGAAATAACCCTCGGTACCCACTGGATATGAGCACACATGTATATGCATATTTGTGTGTTGTTAAGTTTTTGGTTTTATGGAGAATTTGGGCAGTCCACAAAAAAAATATATTTCCATTACCCATTAACGGATATGTTAGAATGCAGATTTAGATTTATTCATCTAATCGTGTTCTATACTTTACTAATGCTCGTATTATTCCTGAAACCCCAGTTCCCAAATACTTACAAGTATAATGTCCTCTGCTTAATCTGTTGTACAAAGCAGCTACGTGCCATTCGAGACGCTGACGGTAGTGATTTCCTTTATTTCCTTTATTTCCTTCACACAGCTTCTCTCTCTTCTTTCTATTCCAATAAAGGCTCAGTTCATATCAGCTACACCTTTTGCCAATATTTGTAACACCGCTGAAATAACTTGGCTTTCTTTCTTCTGTTAGGAACCATCTGCAATCGAAAGAAACAGGAGCAACCGAAGCAACAGAAGAGGAAGAGCCAGTCTAAAGCAACTAAGAAAACCAAACAGAATCATAAGAAAAGCGAAGCGCAACAGGGGACTCAAGAAGACAACAATATGGCTACCGGAGGTGACATCACGCTACGAGACGTCACGCATCCTTCGCTGAATGAAGCACTGAAGGCTCACAATGCCGTCACATTCAAGCTCGTCCGAACCGGTGAGTAGGCGTTTTGTGCTTGTAACTAGCGACGTCACATTGGAAATGCTCCCCCATACGGCATGGACAGACTGCAGCACTGACATTCTGATATCAGAGTTTTGAAAAATCGGTTTTACATCAGCTGTTGCCTTTATATTAGGGCGATTATTATAATTTGAGGACCCGCGGTAGCGTAGTAGGCTGAGGAGCTATTCTACAAGTCGGAAGGTCTTGAGTTCGATTCCCAATGAAGTTATTACTTTTTCAATTGACCTAATCCTTCCAGTCGCACTATAGTTTTGGGATCGGTTCAGCCTCTAACAGAAGTGAGTACCAATAATCTTCCTGGGGGCAAAGGCGGTCGGCGCTTAAAGCTGACGACCTTTTTGTCAAATGTGAGCCGATTGTTTGGAAAATGTGGGAACCTTGACGTCTCACAAGCCTATGGGTGTTCACTGTGTTACAAGAATAGCTTTACCTTTTTTATTGCTATAATTTTTTGTGTACAGTCAAACGTGTCTCCTTGTATTAAAGTGCAGTGGTTAGTTTGTGTACATGAGGTCTTTCCCATTGTAACGTTACACAAAAGGAAGTATCTCTATTTACCCGGACAGCTATGCTAGAATACAAGGGTCAATATTGGTGGCAGCGCAGGGTTTCAGGCCAATTACAATGACAGGTTAGTAATGGGAACTCACTCACTGTAGGCTAATAATCCACAGCATAGACCACACAACACTGTCCCTCAAACAGTACGAAGCGTCAATAGTTATCGGACTTTGAAGGTACGCCACCAGCGAAATCGACCCTCACGCAGAGTCCGTGTCGCTCAGTTCACAGTCTTATACAGATCAACCCTTTAAAGCACAATGGTCTGTCTACGTATCGTTTGCTTGAAATTTGAATTTATGAATTATCTGCACAGAGTGTATTTATGTGTTCCATGCGATTCAAAGAAAAAGAAAACAGCGAAATTTTCCTAATCGTCATTAACGAACTGATCTTTATAACGGAGACGCAATATATTTTATGAGGCAGTAAATCTTCTGCCTTTTCTTTTCATATTAGGCTCTCTGCCTCTTTCCTGTCTGAATTAATCTCGAAATATGTATATTATGGAGAGCTGGTAGGACTTCTTGGACGGGGGATCAGCCCTGTCACAAGGCCGGTACTTTCACTTGACAAAAAAAAATAGACGAAAGGCGGAGAGACATACATTCCTCGAGTGGGATCCGAAACCACGATCTTAGTGATTGAGGTGGCGAAGATATGTCATGCCTTAGACCTACTAGCTACTGTGATCGGCAGATAGCAAAAGACGTTTTAAATATTCCTTATGAAATAATATTTGCTTCGAAGTTTTAGTGCCTGTCTCTATTCCACAGTTTGATGGTGAAAGTAAAAACGTAAAGCTATCCCTATAATATGCCGTGGAGACCAGTTGGGTTCTGAGACATCTAGGCTCCCACATCTCCTAGAGAATCGGCTCATAGATGGCGCTGGAGTTGTCAGTCTCACGCGCCGGCCGCCGTTTACCCCCAGGAAGATCCCTGGTACTCATTTCTGTTAGAAGCTTAGTCGACTCTAGGATCATATTGAGGATGAAAGGATGAGGTCAATTTAAAATCTATTGACATCATCGAGAATTGAACCCACGATCTTCCAGCTTGTAGCATAGTGCCTCAACCAACTACCCTAACGCGTTGCCCACATTGAGAAGTAAAGTGTTGTTAGTCGAAGTAGCAATGAGAGCTAGAGTGGCATATGTTACTGCCGCTGGCCTTCACTACTAAGCAACTTGTAGCAGGAAATTGTATCCAGTTAAATTGGCAACAGGAGGGCCCATTGGAACGAACGTAATGCTAATTCCATTGCACGGACTTCCTCTTGGGAAGATATTAGTTGCTCAGCTCTCAAGAAATTATGCACCTGTTATGGAATTCGAAGGTTCATTGTTGTCTTCACAAGAACATGGCATTGTCCTTAGCCAGGGGAATCCAGTTCATATCCCCTCACCCTCCTTCTTCAAGCATTATATTAAGACTTCCAAACGATTTCCCTAACTTCCCTTCAAATTCTCTCATCAAAATTTTGTGCGCAGTTCTCGTATCTCTCACTCATACTGCTCACGTTCTGTCAGAATTATTTTTATAGATTTTAGCTTCTGAATATTGGGCGAGGATTACGAATACGAAGTTTCTATTCATACGGTTTCTGTGAGCCTCTTATCACTTCCCCTAGAACATTTGGACCGAAGGGGGATGAAATGGAATGAGACTGGAGAAAACTGCATAATAAGGATCTTTATAACTTGTACCTTCGCCAAATATAATTAGAATGATAATGAGGTGGGCAGTGCATGCAGGAGGCATGAGAAGCAGGGAATGCATATAGGATTTTGGTGGGAATGCCATAAAAAGATAACTAAGAAGACCTGGACGCAAGTGGGAGGCTAATATTAAGCGGTATCTTTGAGAATCAGAATGGAATGATATGGACTGGAATTATCAGGCTCAGGACGGGGACGAATGGAGGGCTCTTGTGAACACGGTAATGAACTTTTGAGCACACTAAAATGTTGCAAAATTCTGGAGTAGCTAAGCGACGGGCGGATTGCAAAGAAAAGCTTAGCTCCATGAAGTTAGTTAACTATCATTCCTCAGTCTTAGCTCCGAAAGTTATTTCGAAAAATGAGTTTTCAGAGAGCCTCAACTTGTGTTCTTTATTTTCTTTTGGAGACCAGGTTTCAATTAGTTCCTTGAAGCAATCTTCCTTCAGCAGCCTGTACTTGCTCATCTAGTCGAGAATTCCCCTCCTTTTATGCAACTGGAAAGTTCATTACAATGTCAAGAAACCGCCACTGGTTCCTACACTAAACCAATAAATCGCTGAGAGTAACACACAATGTTTTTCCGCAGATTCTATAGCTACGTTGTCCAATCTTTCCTTCCGTTACCAATATATGAACTCAATATATCGCTTTCTTCAATACTTCTTAGGTTCTTTCAGTTTTTGCCACAACTAAAGACCACCATAAAATAATAGGCCTGTGCATAAAATTCTAAGCTAATGGCGGCTGTAGGAATGGATTTATCTTGAAGCACTTAGTCTCAGAGATCACGTCATTTGTAGACAAAAACGAAACACAGAAATTACGATAGAACATATGATGATCATGAAAGGAATTGGTTTAGTGTTTCCTTGAGTTCATCGGAAGCTCTGTTGGCGAGAGTAAGGTTAAAGGGAGCGTTACGCACTTGAATCTGAGAAAGAAAAAGGAAGTGTGTGTTCTAGATTGTCACTAACTTACGCTTTCACGACATTTCAGTGTTAATGTTGATTCTGCTGTTGGGTTTTGGCGCAGAGTGGATGTTGGCAGTGTTGCCGAAATTTCAACACTCACCATACCATGGCGGAGGGAGCACGGTTAAGACTTAAGAGCAGAGTCAACACTTCAGATTATGACATAACTAGGAGTTTCTGCGGCAAGGGTGCCGGCAGAGGGGGATAAGCTAGGCATCTGCCCCTTCCCCCCCATAATCTTAAAAAAAATCAAAATTGACGAAAGAAAGAAATCATTCAAAATACAATTATTAAAAATAAAAATTAAAATAATACTTCAGAAAATTACTAAAAAAATAGAAGGTGAATTAAATGTCAGTTTATAAATTTTCTGGCTGCTCTGTTTGGAAATTGGATGCATTAATGAAAAAAGTGACTGCCCCCTACCCCAAAAAAATCGTAGTGACTCACATGCTGTCATATGCAGGCGCATGATGCTTTCAAAATGGTAAAGTTGTCCCTGAGCTTAACTAATTAAGCACTATGTCATGAAGACATGTGAGATAGCGGATGTATTTCTTGATTTTTCTTGACCTCGGCATTAGTTGGAGGCGAGCGATCAGCTTCACGTCCTGGCCGCTTTAGCCCTTGGGAAATAGCCCCTAGTACCCATTGGAGAGGAGTCTGGCTGGGCCCCAAAGCACTCTGGACGACATGGAGAAGTGAAAATTCTTACCCTTACCGGCACTCTAACTCCGACCCCTTGGTTGTCCAGCCCGTAGCCAGTCGCTCTACCGACTGAACTATCCAGGATCTGCATAATGCAATTTTTTCCCTTGGCACTACAGCCTCAGGGGGCCTAGGCCTACCTCCATGAACTTCTCCGTTCACATAATGCCATTAGGATCGTTAAATATGGAATATTACCATAGATTTGGCAAAAAACTAGGATGGTAGACAGAAGAATTACTTACAAAATTATGGCGAGGAGACTGAATGACGCCCACGTGGAATACAGAAGGGTAACACTAAGTGTTGTTTTAGGTTGAAAGCTTGTGAAGGTAGAGGTGGGTACATTAGTTCAGAATAGGCCGCGCCATAGGTCAAGCGGTTATTTGCTGACTTCTCACCGCGGCGGCCCGGCTTCGAGCCCGGGTCTGCTCAAGTTGGATTTGTGGTAGACAAAGTGGCGCTGGGGCAGTTTTTCTCTGAGTACTTCGGTTTCCCCTACCAGATTTCATTTCAACAAATTCTCCATCATCATAATCACCCGAGGCAGGTACAATAGGCCAGTCAGTGGCCGACGTGCCAAGTGGTCCCAGCTGGACTCCAACACACACTATGTGAATTAAAAAAAAACTAAAATTAATTAATTAGTTCAGAATCATAACGTGGGCTGTGGTATTAACGCTTCTGAACTTTTGGGCCCTGTTACCGAAGGGTCGGTTGTCACAAAATTCTAGTCAGAGCCGTATGAAATTTCGATGAATTTCTCGTCTAGTGCCGTTCCAATCAAAATGCAGGCACAATGCTGCATTACTGTCTATGCGTATGAAGTCAAAGCAAATGAAGCATAGTTTAAATTCCGAAGTGAATCCCACCAGTGGCCTGGAACTAACGCTTCACCCTGACAAAAGAAAAACGTAATTCCTCTGCACATGGCCTCTTTGACCACTTCATACGTGTATTTAGTATTCAGTTCGTCAATATATTCCCTGCTTACACCAACCTCAACT